CAGACCTCCACATGGGGCCACGCAAAAGCCAAGTTCGCCAAGGACAGAACTAGGGAGCAGGCCTGGGACTCTGGCCCTCGGCTTCTCCTTGCCGGGAAGCGCTCACGTTCCACTGCACCACCGAGTGCGGGAGCAGCGCGCAGGGCCCAAGCACGCGATTTCCGTTGACCACGAAGCCGCGGCTGCTGTAGCTGTCGATGTACATGGCGTGCGGGGACTCGCGTTGCAGCAGAGCGATGCGCGTCCGCTGATACAGCTCGTCATCCGCCGGCGTGAGCCGATGCCCACGCCGTGGGGCCCTGCGGAGGGGTATGGTTAGGGTCTAGGGGACCGCCGGCCAGGGGCGATGGGGTGGTCAGGGATGCTGGGGCCTGGCTCACCACAGCAGATCGGCCAGCGGACAGCGGAGAGCGGGTCGCGCACGGCAGAGGCCGCGAAGGACGAACGCGGCGACCATTGCGAACAGCGCGCTGGGTCAGCGGGGTCGCAGCGGAGCCTAGCCCAGCGTGATAACAGCGCCCCTTGCGTTGCGGAGGGCACCGCGCAGTTCGCCCAGCGCAGGAGTGGGCCGGTGCCATCTGTCTCAGGAGGGTGCCTCCCCCAGAGCGGCTCCAGTGTCGGCTTGCACCTGCTGCCCGCCCCGCCCTGGGCCCCCACAGACAGTCCTGGGGGAGCCGGACACCTGCTGGCGGGGCCAGCCTCTGGGCCCCAGAGGCGGCCTGGGCCCTAGCCGCGGCCTGGCCCTCGGCTCTCATCTATCACACAAGGTTCCTGCGGCCTGGGGCGGGGCGGCCGCGCACCTGGCCGAGTCCCGCACACCTGGCCAAGGCGTGGTGCCAGCCTCCAAGCCCCTAATCCCGGCTTTGGGGCGTCGGGTTCCGAGGGCTGGGCAGGAGGCTCAAGTTTTCCCCGCTCACCTCCAAATCACGCCCCACCCTAACCGTCACCCGCGCGACCGTTGGCGTCGCCGTCGCGCGTCGCACGGGGCGTGGCCGCGCGTGGATTGGCTTCTCGGGAGCGCGAGGGGGCGTGACCGGGTGGTTTCACCTTAAAATGGCTCCAGTCTGCGGCCAGAACAAGCGGAAGGGGATGCCGTGGTAGGGCAATTGTAGCTTCTCGTAAGGGACCGACCGGGCCGAACCCGACCACGCATTGAACTAGAGAGCGGCTGGAGCATCGCCCTGTCCTGGCTCAGTCGGCTCGCGTCCTGAGAATCTCCTACCCGCTGCTAGAGCCGAATCAGAGGGCCTACTGGCGCGAGAGAGTCGCTGGCGTCCGCGCGGGTTTCAGGCATCTCCGCGCGCCCACCGTGGCCTCAGGGCGGACAGGAGGCTCGGCGCAGACAAGGACAATCGCAATGGATTCCCGGGGGTCCCGTCGCTGCCGTGCGGGTCCATTGGGGCCCCTAACGCTCCGGGCTCTGGCAGCTTTACCGGACAAAGGGCTCTGGGTGCGGGGGTGTCCTCGAGGCTGGCGCGCGGGTTTACTTCCTCCCCGGCTTCACGGGCACGCTTCCCTCTTGGCTGATCCCGAAGCCCGCCCCTCCACCGTCACCGCACCAGTTGGCTCTGGCTGCATGGGACCAACAGGACTAATCCTATCCCGCGGATCTAATCCGGATCGGGACTCGGTCCCAGGGGAGGCCCCCACCGCCTCTCCTATTGTTTGGGGACCCAGGTGAGCTCCTCGTTCCCACTAGACTCGGTTTCATCGCCTACTCCTAGGTCCGCCTCCTGGGACTGGGAATGGGGGAGGTTCTAATCTGGCCCTAGGACGAGGGACCCACCCCCCCGCCCCACGGCTGGACAGCGGGCAACGGAATCCCAAAAGCAGCTGTTGTCTCCAGAGCATTCCAGCTGCGCTTGGATTTCGTTCCCTGCTCTCCTGCCTGAGCAGCGTCCTGGTCCAGATGGGGTGGTCGAGCCCCTGACCTCCACACATCATTGGGTCGTGTGGTCCCCGTCCCTCTCAGGTGCGCCCTCAGGCTGGAAGTGACGGGTGTGGACGTCGGAGAGCCTGGGCGGTGGCCATCTCGAACCTGGGGATAGATAGCACTGGTGAGGGAGGGCGGACTCAAGGCCTCCGGATAGGGCTGCAATGGCGCTGAGTCCCACAGGGCCACCCCAGTCCGCAGCTCGCTAAAGATAGCCCTTCACTTCCTGGGGAAAAAACCACCCCAACCGTCTTCGTGTTCAGAGAGTAGCTGAAGTCCCCAGCTGGCCTCCAGCCCCAACCCTGTAAACAACTGCCCCCGTGGAGCGCGCCTGCGGCATGGAAAGCGCTTTGGAATGACACGATCACTCCCGTTGAGTGGGCACCCAAGAAGCCATCGGGAATGTCGTGTCCGCCCAGTGCTCTTTCGGCGCCTCCCAGGAGGGCCTTGAAGCCCTGTCCAAAGAGGGGCCTTGCCAAGCTTTCCCTGGGTCCCCTCCTTTCTGAGCTCTGAGCGCTCTCACTGCTCCAGGGCAGAGAGCACGGTTTTCCCAGAGCTCCGTGCTGCGCCACGGAATAGGGGATTTAAGTTATGTTGAAGTGAAAACATTTGGGAGCCGTCGTGGCACTGGGAAGAGCTTTCTCTTTGGAAGAGGAGTAGGATGCTCCAGTTGAACTGTCCTTTAGCTGGCTCTTCTCATGGTCACGTGGTTTAGTTGGCTCACAATGGCTGGTTGCCTAAACCAGGAAGCGGGAGGATCCCTGTTAAAGTACACCACGCAGGTTAAAAGAAAGCTTTCAAAGCTGGAAATTCTGAAAACCATCACAACGGTACTAATTTATCAAAAATCAAGCGAAGAAAACCTCCAATTCTATCGGGAGGGCGTTTATTGGGAATAAAGACGACCCATATTTCAAAAAAGGAAATGCTTGCAAATAACCTGAAACCGCAGAACACAAATTTTTTAAATGAGATTTTTCTTTAGGTCGTGAAGGTGGCGTTAATGTTAGCTGCCCTATTCCAGAGACAATTCGTAAGGAACTTTTAACGCTGTGTTCATGTATATGATGGAGGAAATTAAACGTTATCCCAAATACAGAAATGTAAGATTTCGATGAGAGCAGGAGCCCCCACCAGGTCGCGAGGATCCTTGCCCTGGTTGGTAACACGGGTGACAGCAAAAGAACCCTACGCCCGGAAGGACCCCGAAATTTCGGACCTGGGACCAAACGTGGCAGGTGGGCCACGCTACGGCCATCGGTCAAAAGCTGCCGCCACGGTTCCCTCTGGTGCACCTGCCCACTCAGGGACCGGATTCCCGCCCCCGCCACTGGGCCTTCCCGGAAGTTCGGCCTCCCGACATTTTACTTCCGGGTCCACTCGCTCCTTCCGGTCACCATGGCGACGGGGCGCCTTGGGATCGAGGAGACTTTGGGTGCCCTCAACGCGGCCCTGGGACCTGGCGGCCCTGTTTGGTTCAAGGAGACGCGCGCCCGCCACCTACGTGCCCGAGACTTCTTGGCGCCGCAGCGCGCGCTACAGGCGCGCTTCCGGGACGGAGAGGTGGGCGTGGGCAGGGCCGGGATCTGCGGCCGTGAGTAGCTTGGAGCGCCGCGGCCCGCTCACCCGCCTGTCCTCCTGCAGGTGCCCGAGTGTGTGTTCCATGCGGTGGCCGGCCTGCAGGGTCCAGGCGTGGCCCCGGTTTTGCGCTGCGCGCGGACATCCGCGGGCCTGGAGCTCCAGCTGCAGCGGTCCGCTGTCTTTGAGCGCGTGCTCGGCGCGGTGGCGGACTATGCCGCGCCCGCCGCGCCCGCTGCGCCGGGCTCGCGCGTCCTCCTGCACTGCCCAGCGCTGCGCGCCGCTCCTTCCGCACTCCGTCTGAGCCAGCTGCGCGCCGTGCTCGTGGCCGATCACTTGGCGCGAGCTCTGCACGCCCACGGGTGAGCGGGGTCCCGGGGCAAGAGAGAAGGCGCGGGTGGGAAGTAGGGGTGAGCCCAAGCCCCGTGCTCAGGCTGAAGCGGCCGCCCTGGCTTCGCAGGGTAAGTGTGCGGCTGGTGCCTGCCGTGCGGGACCGGCACATGTCGACCTTCCTGCAGCAGCTGCGGGTGGACTGGCCCGTTGCCTCGGAGCGAGCCGCGACGGAAGCCCTGAGGAGCCGCACACTGGCGGAGCTTAACCCTGCGGGTGACAGGGAAGCCCTGCCCCCTGGCGTCCTGGGCAACGTGTACCTGAAGGAGCTGGTGGAAGAAAGGGGACGCACAGCTGGCTATGACCCCAACCTGGAAAACTGTCTGGGTAGGACCTGGAGCCTAGCAGGGCCAAAAGGCAGGGACCCCTTCAGTCTCAGGTAGCCCCAGCGCCTCTGTTCCCTCTGCAGTGACTGAGGACTTGCTCTCCGTGCTGGCAGAGCTGCAAGCGGCTGTGCTGCACTGGCCTGAGGTCGGCTCCCTAGACCTGGTTAGTGACTGACTCCCACCCCTGCGGGCCTCTAGCACACCAGGTGCCTGTATCCCCGGTGACTGTTCTCCTTATAGGCTGCGGGCGGAGCCCCTGATGCAGACGGCTGCGTCGTAGTGCACGTGGTGAGCTGTGAGGAAGAGTTTCAGCAACAGAAGTTGGACCTGCTTTGGCGGAAGTTGGATGACCAGGCTCCTCTCAGCCAAGTTAGTGATGGAGCTCCCCCAAGTCAGAGGGTCCTTGAAAACGTGTCAAGGGGCCTGCTGGCTGACTGGTCCAAAAGGGGACTCTTGGCTTTAGGGAGACGTTAGGCTCAGTGAGTGGGCAGGTGCAGCTGGTGCAGAGTCCTGGGAGGTGGGATCTGGAGGCGCATCCTGGGGAACACTGAAGAATAGCTGGACTGTGCCCTGAGGGGCTTGACAGGGTAGCACTAAGCCTGGTGGTAAAAGGGAGGGGAGGGAGTCCAGACACCAGATTTCAGTTCGTTGTGGGTTTTATTGCGGGAGGGTGTTGTCTGCTGGCTGAGCCCCTGTCTTCCTGACAGAAGCACCTGGTCTGTGGCCCAGTGAAAGTAGCTGGTGTGCCTGGCACCCTGACTGCCCCCGAATACTACAAGTAAGTGAGGCCAGAAGGCGGCCACCAAACCGGGGTAGTTGAGGTGGGGACTCTGCCCCCCAGCCCTCTTCTCACTTTTTTCAAAATGCAGGTACCGGCACGCCCAGGTGTGCAATGCCTCAGCACTGAAGCACAGCAGAGACCTGGCACAAGGTGCGCCTGGGAGACCCTGGCTATGCTGTAGGGCGGGGGCAGGTCATTTGCACCCCTACCTTGTTCCTCACCGGCATAGACTTACTGACCTGTACTCCCTCAGACCCAGCCTGGACAGAGACCTTCAGGGTTCTCTCCGTGGCCACCATCAAGTTTGAGATGCTAAGCACAGCCCCACAGAGTCAGGTGAGCCTGGGTGCCCCACAGGACCAGGACTGGGGGACAAGGTGTGTGGTGGCTGTCCTCCCTCACTCACTGCAGCTGTGCCCCTATTCCTCAGCTCCTCCTGACCCTTGCTGACAGCAGCATTTCCACAAAGGGCACCAAGAGTGGCATTTTTGTCATGTATAATTGTGCCCGTCTCGCCACACTCTTTGAGGGTTACAAGCACAGCATGGAGCAAGGTCTATACCCTACTTTTCCACCTGTGAGCAGTCTGGATTTCTCACTGCTCCATGATGAGGTGAGTGCCCCTCCTGTAACTGGTACCTGCAGGAGGCAAGGGCTTGCCCTCTCAAAAGCCTTCTACCCACAGGGTGAGTGGCTGCTGCTCTTCAATAGTGTCCTCCCCTTCCCAGACCTGCTGAGCCAGACAGCAGCCCTGGACCACAGAGCCCCAGGGCTCCACGTCACTGCACGCACAGAGACGGTAAGGCAGAGGGGACCAGGACGGACACTGCACTCTCTTTATTCTGGTTAGGGTACGAGAGCAAAGAGACAGGCCAGTGACTCAGTCTCTGTCTCTAGGTGTGCAAGCTCCTGGTACAGCTCAGCATGGACTTCAGCTCATACTACAACCGCGTACACATCCTAGGGGTAAGCGCACAGTAAACGGGGGGTGTGGGAGGGGCAGGAGAAGCAAAGGATGAGCCCAGCAGGCCCCTTCTCTCCTCCAGGAGCCTCGACCACACCTGTTTGGTCAAATGTTTGCCCGCCTGCAGCTTCTACGGGCTGTGTGTGAAGTGCTCCACACTGGCCTAGCCATGCTGGGTCTCCCTCCACTGAGCCACATCTAAGGCCACAGAGATTCCAGTGCTGGGAATGTCCACAAAGTCAGCAACTGGGAAAAAACAAAACAAAAAAACCCAACATTTTGTTGGAGATCTAGAGCCAAATAAATTGTTAAAAGCTTTGTTCTGTTGTGGGGCATGGGGCGTGGTCCCGCCTGCCCGGTCGGCACTCTGCTCACCTCCAGTTCCTGCTCCAAAGTCAGGAACCCGCGGCGGCCGCCTCCTTCCCTCAAGGCAGGCCGGGCATGGGCACGGACAGTCACTCCTGCTCCACTCTGTCTGTGAGCAGGCCCCGTGCCCAGCATGCCGGCCACCGCGGGACACCTCAGTCATACCAGTTGTAAACCTCAAGTCCCTGGCCCCCAAGAGCACAGCGGTGGCCAAACTCGGGACTCACAGGCCAGCAGTCCATGTCAGCCACGTCTGGCACGTGGTACACAGTACTGTTCATGAAGGTGGGCTCGCCATGCCCTAGACGCCAGAAGGTCAGCCGCTGGTCAATGGAGGCTGAGACCATGAGGCTTGGGCTCAGGATATGGAGGCCTGTCACATGGGCAGCATGTGCACAGGGGACAGAGTATTCCTCCAGCACATGCAGCTGCGGTACCAGCTCAGCACCCCCCACAGCCTCTTCCAGCTCTGGCACTTCCACCGCAAGCACAAAGACGTGGAGGGAGCCATCCTCACTGCCACTGGCTACGAGATGGCCCTCATGTGTGGGCAAGGTGTGCAGGCTGTTGACACCACAGCTATGAGCCTGGAGGGTGAGGCAGGGGGTGCCCAGCCCTAGAGAAAAAAGATGGTTGTGAGGATCTAGATGCCACATGGATGAAAGCAAAGTGGAAGGCCGGGAGGGTCAGCCATAGCCACACACTAGCTACTCACGGTAGGGGAGCCCAGGGTCTGCTGGAGGCTCCAGGACAGTGGAGCCATGGTCTAGCACGGTGGTGAGATCCCAGAAGGCCAAGCTGCCATCGGTGGCTGCACTGCACAGAAACAGTCTCCTGGGAGCCAGGAAAGGGCAGCTGGATCAGTCAGGGAGACAGAAAGCAACGGGAGCCCCCACCGACCCGTGAAGGACCACCACGCAGCCCCTCTCACCGCCGCTGGTCGGGTGCCTCATGTATAAAGGAGTGGACCTTGAGGACACACCGCTTGTGGTGGAAGGTTTCAGCCAGCAGCTGCAGCCGCCGTCCAGAATCCTGCAAAAGAAAGAGCCTGGGGGGCGGAGGGTGGCCCAGCTCAGAACCCACTCTGGACAGCCCTACATCCTTTGTCCCCTGGAATCCCTGGGCCCTACCTAGTCTCTTACCTCACTGCCCCGTCACTGCAGGCTGCAGCCACAAGAGGGCCAAGGCCAGGCTGGTCGAGCTCACACACAGCCAGGGACATGTACCTGCAGAGAACACGCAGCTGTCAGCGGAACCCTGTCTGACCCCCTCCCAGGCTTCTCCAGGCAGCGCATATCACCTGGTCTCTGGGTCCACCTTGACCATCCGGTGTCGATTGCGCTGCCGGTCCCAGTACTCATCCAGCCGGTGGGATGAAAGGTGCATAACGTGGCAGGCGAGGCGGCTTGGGGTGCTGGGGTCCAGGGTGACCATAATGCTGAAGCAGTGCATCTCAGCCCGACCCCCCGCGGACACCACGTGGGCAGTCAGGCCTGGCCGAGGATCCTGAGGGCCACCTGGGGTGCCAGTGCCCCACACAGCCACTGCACGCACCGAGGAGATATGGTTACAAACAGCTGTGAGTGCACGTGCTGAGCCCGTAGCTGTGGGGAGCGCCAGGACGCAGATGGTGGTGTCCTCGCTGCACGTGATCACGATGTCGATCAGGTTGGGCCCCTCGCTGCCAGGCTCCAGGTGGTCAGGCTGCATGAAGCTAGGCACCTCAAACTCAGGCCCCAGGATGATGGAGCCCACACGCTTTACACACGTGATCTCACGGCCATGCAGGCTCTCCCGGAGAATAACATGTGGCCGAGTGCAGCCACCCAAAGCCCGGTACAGCATGACATCCCCATCCTTGAGGTAGGCAAAGGCCATAGCCGCCTCAGTATCAGAGAAGGCCCAGGAGCGATGCCCTCCACCACAGTTGACGATGTGAAGCTTTTCATGTGACCGGGGGCTCCACACCACAAACTCATTGGCATGGAAACCCAGAATGACCATGTTACCATCAGGCACCATGCGGAGCCCAGCCACCCAGTTCATGCCTCGACAGGACTTCTGCCTTAGGACTGGCTGGAGCTGGCCGCATCGCACGAAGAGCTGGTAGTAGGCACCATCGCGCCCTGTGGTGTACACATAGCCACCATGGCAGGTGACTGAAGTCACACCCTGCTTCCCATGCAGAGAAGGGAGGGTGGACACAGGGCCCCACTCAGCTATGGTGTTCTCACCCCCATCACTGCCACTACCCGCTTCAGGTGCTCCGGTGCCAGCCCCAGCCTTGCCTCCAACCCCAAGGTCCTTGAGTAGAGCTGGTCTAGACGGGAACAGCAACACAGAGCCCCGGCGGTCTCCACACACCAGGAAGTCACCCGGGGGGAGGAAGGCACTGCACGTGTGCCATCTCTGCTTGCTTGGAGGCAGCAGGTACCGGCAACGTTCCTTGACAAAAATAGCCTTGCCAGAGGGCGCCGCTGAGATCTCCAGGCAAGCCACCACGCCGCCAGGGCCCGACACCAGCAACAGGAGCTCCTCGTAGCCACGCAGGGCCCAGCTCACGCTGTGCACCTTCCCACGGAACAGGGTCAGGTCCACGGCTGCAGTTGGAGTATTGATGGGGACAACTTTGACACGACCCTCCCCATTGGCCATGGCGCACAGTCCAAAGCCCTCGGGACCAGGGGCTGCCTCCAGGAGGCAGTAGGACTGGAAGCGCTTGTCCTCCAGCAATTGCTCCCAGCACTTGACTTCGAGGTCATAGAGGTACAGGGCCCCTGTATCGGTCACTGCCAATACTCGCCATGAGCCAGCCAGCGTCACAACCTTGAGGGCACCTGGCCTGCTACGAGATTTGAAGCAGAGGGCTGAGACCCCTGAACCTGGGTACCCACGCCCTACCAGGTGCCACAGCCGGATGCCTGAATCATCGCCCCCGGTGATCACCCAGGCCTGCCTCTCATGGGCCGCTATAGCCCGGATCCCACGGCCCTGGTGGCCTCGAAATGCCTGGAGGATCTCACCTTCGTGGCTCCATACCAAGCAGACACAGTCCTCTCCTGCACTGATAAGGTAATTCTCTAGCAGCTTGACCTGCCACACACGGGAGCTGTGTCCAAAGCAGTGCCCAATATTCTGCACCCGACCCCCGGGCACCCGTAGGTCACCCACCTTCCAGATGCGAACACTTCGATCCTCTGAAGCTGTGGCCAACAAGCCCTTGCTTTCCAGATATGACATGCTGAAAATGACGCCCACATGCCCACTGACCCGTCGGTCGGGGGCTACAGGCTTACTATCTATTAAAGCAGTTGCTGGGTACCAGACTAGGAGCTGGTTAGAAACAGCACCCGCCACTATGGTCAGCTCCTTCCAGGTGTCTCCAATCAGACAGGCTGAGGAGAGGGTGCACCTGTCTGTGCAGGGCACCTCCTGCAGGAGGCACCCTATCACAGGGTCGTAGAGCACCACTGAGTTGTGTCCCAGAGCCAAGGCCATGTTGCCTTCAAGCCAACGTGCATCCCAGATCCAGTCAGACATGTTCCACAGGCCAGAGCGCCAGAGCTCTCGGAAGCGGCCCTGTCCCCAGCTAATTTTCACAACTCGGAGTCCTTTGCTCCCAAACACAGCCACCATGGCCTCCGAGTCAAGGTTTCCGTTGGGTTCTGGTCGCACCCGGAACCCATGAATAAGATAGTGGCCAAGTAGGTTCTGCACTCGCTTCATCATCCGTAGATGGCCACCGAGATCCAAGGTGTACACCAGGACATCCGGCCCCTCACCTAGACAGAGGCAAAGAGCTGCATCAGAACCGCTCCCCTACCTCTGAGGAGCCGTGAAGACGAGGCGGGGAGCAGGGAAAGTTCCCCACATGTGGCCTATGAACTTGTCAGAACACTGGAAGCCTGAACACCCAACGGCTTCGGTCTCAGCCTCAGGTGGCCTTTTAGTGCTGATGTCCTGACCCCCTCAGTCACTCCTGACGTTCGGCTCAACCACGAGTTCCTCAAAGTCACAGCCTCCTCCTCCCACCTAACTTCAGACAGGAACCTTCTCAGCTCCAGTCCCCAAATCCTTAACCTCATCTACCTATACAGGAATTCTAACTGATCCTCCCTCCCCGAGGGAGAGGTAGTCCCAGTAAGACAATCTTCCCACCTTGGGACCGCAGCAGAAGCCCCTCCTGACTTCCAGGAGCTTCTTCCCCGTATCTCAGGAGATGTGAACATGTTCCGTATGGATGAGGAGAACTAGAAGCAGTGCCCCCCACGGCCCTCCGCCGCCTCCTGGCTGCCCCGCAGGCACCTCCCACTCGACTAGCTTCCCCTCAGTGCTTTTGATGCTCCTCGTTCCAAGGACCATTACCACTCTCCGCCCATCCCTCAGCCCCAAATCAGAAAGTCCACACAGCTTACTCCTCTTAACTTCACACTTCTTCTCTGTCTCCAAGTTCTGTCAATTTCCTTTTCTAAAGAGTTTGCAAATGCCCACCACAGTGACTCTGGTCCAGAACATCAGTCACTCATGCCATTCCTAGTCTGCAACCTCAATCTTTCGACATTCGACAAACATTTATTGGATATCAATTAAGAACCAGACAATGAACTGTATGCTAGAGTAGTGAATAAAACAAGCACAGACCCTGCTCTATGGATTAGGCAGACACAAAACAATATCACACAAGACATGTCATAATTGCGATAGGTTTCAGGAAAGAACTATATCAGACAGGAACCTTCTCAGCTCCAGTCCCCAAATCCTTAACCTCATCTACCTATACAGGAATTCTAACTGATCCTCCCTCCCCGAGGGAGAGGCAGTCCCAGTAAGACAATCTTCCCACCTTGGGACCGCAGCAGAAGCCCCTCCTGACTTCCAGGAGCTTCTTCCCCGTATCTCAGGAGATGTGAACATGTTCCGTATGGATGAGGAGAACTAGAAGCAGTGCCCCCCACGGCCCTCCGCCGCCTCCTGGCTGCCCCGCAGGCACCTCCCACTCGACTAGCTTCCCCTCAGTGCTTTTGATGCTCCTCGTTCCAAGGACCATTACCACTCTCCGCCCATCCCTCAGCCCCAAATCAGAAAGTCCACACAGCTTACTCCTCTTAACTTCACACTTCTTCTCTGTCTCCAAGTTCTGTCAATTTCCTTTTCTAAAGAGTTTGCAAATGCCCACCACAGTGACTCTGGTCCAGAACATCAGTCACTCATGCCATTCCTAGTCTGCAACCTCAATCTTTCGACATTCGACAAACATTTATTGAATATCAATTAAGAACCAATGAACTGTACGCTAGAGTAGTGAATAAAACAAGCACAGACCCTGCTCTATGGATTAGGCAGACACAAAACAATATCACACAAGACATGTCATAATTGCGATAGGTTTCAGGAAAGAACTATACAGGCTGCTTGATATAAAATGAAAGTCTACTCCAGTGGTTCTCAATGGGGGGCAGGAGAGAGATTTTCCCTCCAGGAGACATTTGACCATGTCTGGAGACACTTTTGGTTGTCACAACTGTGAGCTGTGTTACATCTAGAAGTGGATGCCAGGAATGCTGCTAAATGTCCTACAATGCGCAGACAGCCCCTCACACAACAAATGATCTGATCTAAAATGTCGACCCTGGTCTAATCTAACCGGACTGGGTGAGTGTCAGGGAGCCCACCTCAAGGACATAAAATTTAGACTGAGGAATCAAGGATGAGCAGTGGTTGGCCAGAGGAAAGCAGGCAGGATGGAGGGGGGTTGAATTTTTCTTGTCAGAGAAAATAGCAAGTTTGATGGCCCTGAGGTGACCAAGAGCTTTGGGTAGTGTGGCTGGAATCAGAAACGAAGGGCTCAAGGACGAGCTAGAGAGAATGTTACTGAGAGTCAGGGAGACATGGCTGCATGGCCTTGAATTATGGCAATAAAAAGGTACAAGATGCCACATGTATGAAGTCCAAATTGACCAGACTGGAAGTCACAGGAGCAGGTGAATTCACCTGAAGAGCTTTCTAACCTGCATTTCCTAAATCATTCCCCCGCTTAAACTCTTCAGCGGGGCCTCCCCACCACCTTTGGGGATAAAGTCAGATCTAGACCTACAACTGTCCGGACCCTGCTCCAGCAGCAGAGAATTCCCTTTTCTCCCAAAGTGACAAATTCAGCCTCAAGGGCTCGGCCTGCTTACCCTCTGCCAGGAACTCACTTCTCTTCCCCTAGTTCACTCTTGTGGTTCTTTGGATTTCTGCCTAGCTATCCCCTCCTCCAGGAGCCTCAGGAGTTTTAGCTCATGGTAGGGACCCTGGGCTCCCAGAGCCCCCACACCTGATCAAAACTGGGCCACTCCTCCCCACCCCACCCCTTACACATCCACCCCTCTTGGGATTGGTAGCCGCTCACTCAAGGCTTGAGAGCCAGTACACTGCTTTGAGACCCTTATAAAACTCTGTAGCAGCAGCATCAGTCACTAGTGGCTTCCAGTCAGGCCTCACTGCTCCTCAGGGCTCTGTCCTCTCAAGTACCAGGTCTTTGCTGGCCTGTGCTTCCCAACCCGTCCCTCCTCCGATGGGCACGGACATCGATTTTTCCAATCATCTCAGGAGGGTCTCAGCCTTCGCCTGCCCAGATCTCATCTCGTTTCCCGTGACTCCATCCTTGGCAGAGAATCTTCATTCCACTCTTGCGGGGAAGAGTCTCGCCGGACCGCCGAGGCCACACCCCCGCCTTCCCGGGCCCCGCTCTCCTCCGAGGGCAAACCCCCTGGACCCGCCCACCTTGGGGGTATCCTCATCTCCGACCTCTCCGCCCCATCTCTTTCGAAGAGGCCAAACCCCCGACTACCTCATCCAAGGGGCCACACACCTCTTCCTCCTCCCTCCAAAGGGGCTGCGTCTCCCTGCACCTTCCGCGGCCCTACCCGCCCTTTCCACATCAGCTGCAGTTTAGGGAGGGCCTCGGAAGCCACACTGGCTTTTTTGTTTCCCGGGCCCCTCCGGCCGGGCCTCATTCCCGCCACCTCCAGGGCTCCGCCGCCCGTCCTCCCCCGGGCATCCCTTTGTTCCGTGGCCCCGCCCACGCGAGCGCGCGGCCTCCTCCCTGCCAGCGCGCGCCTCAAACCGAACCTCACCCGCCAGCAGCCGCTCCCCCACGCACTCCAAACCCGTGACCGGGAGGAGTATGAGCTCGGAGGTTGCCCGCGGCCAAACGTAGTCCTCGTGAGCGTCCATGTCGGCCCCCCAGCTGCTGCAGCTGCCACCGCCAAGAAAGATGAACTCTCGCGAGACGAGCCTCCCCGGCGCGCAGCGCTGATCTACAGCGCCCTTAGCAACAGGTAGCCGAGCCCCGGCGACCCGCTGCCGGTGTCCAATGACGACCCTTCGCCCCATGCGATCCGGCTCACGATTGGCGGGGCCGCCCTCAACCCTGCCCCTCACGTGACTGGCCGAGCCTCCGCCTACCCGCCCTGCCTCCTGCCCGCCGGAGATCCTTTGCCAATCAGCTCAAAGGAGTGTGCTTTTATTCATCGGGGCAGCATGGTCTGTACGCAATAAATAACATGGGTATAGGAGCTGTGCCCTAATCGCGGCTGGAGGCGGGGATGAGGCAAGACGTCGGCCAGGCCTTTGGCCTGCAGATGGACAGGAGGACGGCAAGGCCCCCGACCTTGGGCGGTGCGCGACCTGCGGCTGGGGGCCAGGGCCGGCACTTTCCTCAGAGCTCTACGCGCGCGTCGCGATAGGCGCGGTCCAGGGCCCACTCTGGCTGCGAGTCGGCGCCACCTTCGCGGGCCAGGCGTGCCATCTCCTGCTGGAACAGCGCCTGCCGCGCTCGGCTGGGATCCACGTTGATCCAGTTGTTGGCGATCCACTTAGTGCCACGCGTGACCAGACAGCCCCCGTGCAGCGAGTAGTCGTCCACGTCGCCCACCCAGCCTAGGAGAGGAGGGTGGTGTGAGCAGGGAGAGGACGGGAGGGACTAGGTTGGGCTATTCTGAGCTTGGCCTCAGAGCCCAAGGACTCAGCAAGGGTGGGCTCCACTGTGCACACCTTTGGTGGCAAACATCTGGCCTCAAGGCCTCATTGGGGGCTGGGCATTTCTCACCAACTAATGCCTTGTCAACACCACTGGCCCTCTGAAACCAGCTTTCTTGTTGCCAGGCCTGTCCAGAGCCCTCCCCAGCCTTGGCTGGTGAGGGACATGAGTCCCCAGGCCCAGTGAGCTGGAAGGCAGGGGCATCAGGGAATCACAGGGGTCCAGATAACTCAGGAGGCTGCAAAGATACAGGCCACCAAAGCCACCGAGGATGGTTTTTGGGAGGCACTAGGGGCAGAAACAGTCCACTAGGATGGCAGTTTAGTCTGAGTAAAGGAAGGCTTCCCTCAGGGCACCCCTGGCTTGGCCACAGGCCCTCACCTTGCCCATCAGGCAGGTAGTTGTACCAGAAGACTGCTGTGCCCTGCCGGGGCTTGACACGCAGGTTTCCCTTATCACAGTGCCTGCGAGTGTCACGGAGGTCAACGTCATCCTGAATCAGACTCTGTGGGCAGCAGGGTGGTGGGGTTTTCATGGTGTCCCCACTGTTTGGCCAGGAGCCAAGGTCAAGTAGCCAAAGGTAGCCAGAGGGAAATCAGTCAGATGTGCCCAGGGGACCACTTGGGCCCTCATCCCAGACCCAGGCAGGAATGAATGTACCACATTTGCCCAAGGCTCTGCCATCCCACTAAGTAACAGCCCCGTTGGCTCTTACCATTTCGTCGTAGGTTCTGTTGTCTGCTACAGGGAAGACAGTCTCTCCCCCACCGGTGACGTTGTTCAAATAAAACAGCACTGTCATGTAGCTGTAAGGCAGGGGGGCCGTTAAGCATGTCCCCAGCTGTGGATGCTCCCAAGGGCTTACCTGTGGGCAGGATAAGCTGCCCAGGTTCCCAAGGGCCAGAGGGACAGGCTGGGATCAGTGACAAGAGGGCATGTCAGTCCCAAGATGTCCTTAGTCTGTTCTTCCCACAAATCTAGTCTCTGTGTATGACAATATTTTCTGTGGCCAAGCTCACAGGTGCACTACCAAGGGCCAGCTGGGAAAAGTGGACTAGCCGAAGCAGCAAGGCCATGCAGAAGGGCTGACTGTGACTAGAAGGGACTGAGCCAGAGCAGGCATGTGAAAAGGGGAAGCCTGCCTCCCAGCCTTGGCAGGGGAAGACACAGCTTCGAAGGAAGAAGCTGAGGCCTCTAGCAGTGGAGGAAGGATCAGCATCTGGGGAGGAGACAGAAAAAACTGGGGTTCCAGCCTTGGCCTCTGCCTCAGAACTCTGGGGGCAAGTTTCAGTGTTTGTGGGTACCTCAGTCTGACCACTGAGACAAGATTCCTGACACCTGGTAAACAACCTAAACAACCTGGGGGGCAGAGGTTAGAGCATCCTTGTTCCAGATGGCCCACTGCTCTCCTGGCCCCATGCCAGGGGGCATGCCCACAGGGCAAGGCTGTGCTGGTGTCATGCGGGTGCCTGGTGTGGGAATTAAAGTCAGCCCTCAGGTGGGAGGTACTTGCCGGCAGGAGGTCTCAAAGGGTACAGACTCGTTGGCTACCAGTTTGGTATGGGAGCAGATGGTCTCCGGGTACACAGGCCCGCTGTCCACATGGGCATGGTAGTGGCCTCCCTCTCCGTACCGCACAACCTGCAGGGGCTCGCTGAGCTCCACGATCTCAGGTGACAGGCGAGTGAGGCGCAGCACCCTGGTGGGCAGCAGGCATTTGGCTGGGCAGCCCCGCGCAAGGAGGCACCCTGAAGGAGCTGGCCACAAGCTCTGCCCCTGCCCACCTCCCCTGCAAGCTCCATAAGCCACCCCAGACTGTTCCTATAGGAGCAGGAAGAAGTTAATCATGATGCACACTTTCTCCCTGATGCAGGGGAAGCCCGCGAGGTGAGAAAGATGAGAATTCCACTAAATTGGGGAGGGGACCCTCCACCAGGAAGGTTGTCTACAACCCTTGACTGCTCAGAAGCAGGGGGACCTGTGGATTGAGATAAGAAGTCATTTCTGTAATTAGCAGAAAACAAACATTTGCTCTATCTCTAGTCCCAAAGGAATATTGTTTGCCCACACGGCTAATTTGCCTTTGTTAATTGCCTGTCTTTCGATGGGTCCCAAACCTGGTCCAACAAGTGGAAGCTAATCCTGAGTTGGCTAATCAATTCTGTCTTCTCTACCCCAGCCAAGGGCTCCTGAGGGGACCCTGCACTGTCCTCTGCGCCTGCACCAGGGAGGACGCCGTCAGGTGCTCACCTCTGGCGGATGGCGCGCATGACATGGTGGGCACCTTCCCCCTGGTAGAGCCACGTGTGGTGGCTGTTCCGCACCAGCTCACTGGACTCTGCCTTGTGTCTCCTCATGTACTTGTGGAAGTCCCGAAGGTCCATGTTGGAGAACTCCTGCAGGCTCAGTACTCCTGCACAGGGCACCCGCCGTCAGGGCCCACAAGCCCATGTGGGGAGGCCACGGTGGCAGGCTGCACCTTCCTACCCACCCTGGCCTCAGGCTCTGGGGGGCCATGTGCATCTGTCACCCAACCTGGACTCTTGGGTCAGATGAACCTGGCTTCTGTCACATCAGGCCCTACAGGAAGACCCAGAGAAGTTCATTTCCCTCAGTTTATGCCCTGATTTGGCCCCCAACAAAAAAAAGCCCGACCCCTATTAGACTGGCCAGAGCAGGCTCTCCAGAGGAAGTTTGAGCTATATGGCCAGGACCCGAGGCCACAGATTTCCCCTGGCTCTCCAGCCTGGCTCTATAGAGCATAGTGACCACCCTCGGTCCTGCAGAAGGTGAAGAAAGAGAGCATTTAGTGCCAGGTTTTGTCTGGGGCCTTCCACACTACAGGCTGTAAGCGAGGGCTGGGCCCCAAAATTCTTCATGACCTCAGGTCCCATCCCAAGTGGAAGGTACCCAGTGCTGAGACATATTCCACCCTTTGGCCCAGATTTCTCTGAGGGTAGGGGACACTCAAGGGCTATGAGCCCTGTCACCAGTTCTGTACATAGAGGCAGTAACAGCATGATGCCACTCTAGCCACAGGTCCCGGCTAGATTCTCCACTCTGGGTTCACCAGCCACGTGACCATTCTTCCAAGTCCTATGTGACTGTTGTATCTTCCTCACTTGGTCGAGAACTTGGGCTTGAGGGTGATGACTACACCTCAGAAACCTCCTAGAGGTTATTGTCAAAGCAGGGTACTTGCATGACAGCTCCCCAGCCCGCTCCCACCCCCCAGCAGTTAGAATGACTCCAGGTGGGCACGAGGAAAGCAAAGGAGACCTTGGTCAGACGAAAGATGCTGTGTGCTTCAGCGGACCCTATGCCTGGCTGGAGAGAGGCAGGTGGAGCGGGATGAACGGCCAAGCTCAAGCTGGCCTCACTGTCCCTTTGCTCTCGCTCTACCCACTCTGCCCTCTGCCAGCCAGCAACCCTACCTGCCGCACCCCAGACTCTGCCTAACGAGGGTAAGAGAGTCTCGGAGGGGAATGGGAGGGTCTGGCTCCTGCCTGCTTCCCAGGGGTGAGGACAAGGTGGGCCCCTCACCTCCTTGCCCCTGGCTACTGTAGAGGCTGGGCATAGAGGGACAGGAGGCTCCCAGGGCCAGAACTGCGGAGAGGTAGGAGCTCACCATCACCATCAGGGTCAGCTTTGATTGCAGAGTACATCTCCTGAATTTTCTCTGGTGTCATCCACCGTCCATTTCCTAGGCGAGTCTGGGCCAGGACCTAAAGCACAAGATGGTCCCTCAGTGGGGTGGCCCCGGTGATGGAGAGCCACCAGAGCACAGACAGCCCCCCAGTCCTTGCTGTAGGGCTAAAGTTTCAGGTGACTGGGCATGGGCAAGGACTAGGACAGGCCTAAGGTCCCTGAGCCGAAGTGGGGGTCGTTAGGTCCAGTGGCACTAGGGGAGAAGGCCAGGAAGCTAGTCATGCCCACTCTCCACCTGCTGGGAGCGCTGTCCGCTGGTCGGAGGAGACAATGAAGGACAAGCCCGTGTCCTACTCGGACACCCAAGGTGAGGTCGGGGAGACCAAGGCCTAGGTGTGAAGAGCAAAGAGGCACCAGGGGGAGGCTTGGCCAGGGCATGAGCACTAGGCCAGGCTCAGGGGGGCACTGTGTATAGGCAAGGGAACCCACACCCCACCAAGATCTCTCCCAGAAGCCCGGGTGTGAGGGGCGTGCGGAGGGATATGCAGACTCCTAGCCACCTCAGCTGCCAACTCCACCTTGAATTCCGTGGGGCTCCCAGCCATGGCCACCAGGAATCCAGACCCAGGTGGCACAACACCTGGGAACTGTAGTAATAAATGTCATCACCCCCAGGTGGATTCTCCCGCTATTCTCTGGTGTTCACAGGGCAGCAAGGAACTATTTGGGGAAGAAAGGTGGACCCTGAGCCTGGGCATGCCCAAGCTGATATGAGGTGGCATCTAACTCTTGGAGCCAGGGCTGAGCAGGACAAGTGATCTGGCCACTAGAAAGACAACTGTGGGCACTCTTCACCCTACGCCCCTCCCTTGTGCCTGCTCCGGGCCCTAGGATCTTGACCTCACGGAGCTGCAGGCGACCATCGCGGTTCTGGTCCAGCAGCCGGAAGAGGTCCAGCTGGCTGACCTGCATCGTGCCCATTGCCTCTTCGTACTCTTCCGTGGGCAGGATCTGGCTGCGCTGTAACCCCTTCATCTGTGCCAGGTGGATGATGAGCCGACACTCCTCACCACTTAGGAAGCCAGGGATTTCTGCCAGAAGAGGAGGTGGGCAAGTCCAAAGATTGAGCCAGGGCACAAATGCACCCAGTACCTTCCTCTCCACGGGGTCCTTGAGGTGCTCCCCGTACTGTGGTAGTCACCAGGTCAGGAGGACTTCACACACCCCTTTACATCAGCGCTGGACACTGACCCCAAGGTCAAGTTATCCTGCAAATTTGGCCAGTGCTGGGGATGTGGGGGACTCTCTCTTTGATGCTGAGAGCACATATTTTCCAGGGGAGCCCTGGGAGGCAAGCCGGAACTGAGCTGGGCATGCGCTAACCCACTTCGAAGTGGGACCGAAGGCCAAAGAGTGAACTTGAAGAGCAGATGGTTGACCTCTACTTCTTACTTGGTATATATTTAAAAAGTGGAGGGATAGATGCCAAGTTGCCCAGAACAGGGGGGTCAGTGGGAGTCACTTAGGTTTTTGGCAGATGCTCTGAGAAAATGCCCCAGGCATCCTTTGCTTTGGGAACAAGTATACACTGGATGCCTGCTCCGTGCCTCCGAGCCCCTGAGTAAAGGCCAGGCAGGCCCAGGCTTGGCCCCAGTGGCCAGATCCCCTGCACCAGCCCCACAGCAGCTTGGTGGAGCTGGAACGTGGGCCTCACACCTGGGGACCCCCATCTCAGTGGCCCCGGTCACTTCCGGAACAGGAGTCTGAGCCCCGTTTCCCTTTTTCCTGGGAGAGAGGACTTCCTTAAACATGGGGACAAGAAGCCCACAAAAGGAACTGGCTGGAGGAAGGGCCACGCCGCCACCAGGACCCCTCAGACTGCAGAGTGGACTGCCACTTTTCTGGGTTATACTCCCAGCATGAGGTTCCAGTCATGCCCAAGAGGGAGGGCAACGGCCACTCAGCCAGGACCGGAGCGGTTAGAGTATCGCAACAGATTACACTTAGGTAGCACAGACTCTGTGTCTTGTCCTAAGCATGACATCAAGTCCTTAATCTGTATACTCATCCTAGAAACCAGGCCCCATTCATTTGTCCTTCCTATCCACGAGGAACCCCAAGCACAGAAACAACAGCAACTGGCTCAAGGCCCCCCTTGAAGGGGTTCACCCACAACAGCCATCTGTCTCAGAAAAGGGTTCACCCACAACAGCCATCTGTCTCAGAAAAGGGAAAGCGGGAGTGGCTGTGGTACTCCAGAATCCATACTCACGACCAGATTCAGCTCCCATGGGTAGGTGACCCAGATGTGATGACATGAACACAGGACAAAGGCCCCCACTCCTGGCCTATATGACCTCCCGCCCACTCCAACCCAGCAAACCCAGAAAGGGTATGAGCCGTCCACTGGGGGGCAGCGCTGCTGGACAATGACTTAGAGCAAATTGCTAATGAACAGACTTAACTCCTGACAGCTTAAATGATAAACAAGAAAAAGAAAAGAAAGCACATTTTCTTCAGTTTATTTGGTGCCAATAATCCACAGGCCCAAAGGAGATGCCACCAACCTCTACAGTTCCCTGCCCTGTGCTAATCAAATGCAAATGGCCCAGGCCAGCTCCCTGGGGCCTAAACAGGTGGGTCTGAGCACCTAGGAGCTGGGCACACATTAGCTCCTGGGATGTGGGTACAGCCCTATAAAGCCGTCAACCTCAACCCAATAAGGTCAAGGCAGAGAAAGCAGGTGATGGCTCGAGGGCTGTGGCTGCTGGTGGCACTGCTGGTATTGTGTTGGCGGGGCAGGGGCTCCCTGGGGACCCATGTGGTGCATACCCATTTCCCCAGCCATGGCAGTGTCACGACACTGGCTACACAGAGATGCGACTGCCTAACTTGCTGGACCACAACAGCGGCTGAGGCCATCATCCAGCAGTCAGTCCGCTGGCTGCCCCTGCTGGCCGGGGAGCGCCACCTGGATGCCCGCCTTTTCCTCTGCTCCCTCTTTGCCCTGGTGTGCCTCGACAGGTAGGGCAGGGGCTTCAGGTGAGGGGGGCAGGGGCTTCAGGTGAGAGGGGCAGGGGAGGGCTCTTTTCAGCCAGGGCCTGTACTAGCAGCTCTTCGCTAACCATTGCTGGGTGCCCCTTTGTGCTGGGAGATGGCAGGGGTGAAGAGGAAGATGAAGGATTTGTCAGGGTGTTCCTGGCAGAGGGGAGCAGGTGCCCATGGGACGAGGAGACACAGGCAGGGGATCACCTATGGTGAACACCTTTGGTCTGGAACCACAAATCATCAAGGGCTCCTGAATGTCAAGGTAGGCAAGTGGGCAGGCTGCTTTAGCCAGAGGGCTAGGAGCCCCATCTCCAATGAAATGTGCAAACTCTGTCTGCCCAGGGGGTCCCAGCAAGACACGGAGCCCCGGCTCACGGGTGGCCTTTTCTTCCAGAGATCGCGAGGCCAACCAACCCCTCTTCCCCAGCCTAACCTATCCCGTGAACAGTTCCCTCAGGTTCTTTGCTGACCGAGGGCCCGTGCCAAAGCCTCAGGGTGACCATGCCAGAGCAGCAAGACTGGGCTCTTTCAGAACCCAAGGATGGGGCCTCTGCACTCTTTGCCAACCCCAGCCCTGGCCAGAAGCTGCACGGTCTGCAGGTCTTTCAGGTCAAGAGGGTGGGCCCTGCTCTCTCTCTCCAAGATGGGAGCGAAGGCCGAGTGCAGGGCCCCTCCCACACTCACCTCCCAGGCTCGGAGCTGGAGGGGGAGGGGCGCTGGAAAGGGGAAAGCAGCCTGGACTACCCGAGGACGGGTGGGGGATGGGAGACAGAAGCGCTGGGAGTGGGGATGTAGGGCTGAGGTTCCAGCAAGCAGAAAGCCGGGGTGCAGGTCTGTTGCTAAGTGACCAGGCGTCGTTGCCCAGCAACCGCGGAATTACTGGCCATGCCTCAGCGCTCGATTACCTAGAAGGTACAGCGTGGAGTCCAGGAACCCTGGTCTTGGGCGACCAGCCGCCGCCTTCCCCGCAGGGTCATCTCCCCGTGCCGTAGGCTGTGCGAGGTCGTGCAGGCCAGCTGTGCGCCCATCATGACCTGCTACGGCTACCCTTGGCCAGCCATCCTGCGCTGTGGACGCTTCCCCTCCGGCCAGGACCTCTGCGTGGCGGCCATCTCCAACGGCTCCTGCCCGGGACGCCCACGTGAGTCTGTGCACACACAGCTTCTAGGCTGGTTTTACCCTCCCTCGGCGGCAAAGGCAGGGCTCCACCCTTTCTAATCACTCCCTGCGGAAATCAGGTAAATGGATCTCTCTAGTGGGAAAGAAAAGGGTTCACCCACAACAGCCATCTGTCTCGGAAAAGGGAAAGCGGGAGGGGCCCGGGGCTAATGGCCCACCTCCCCCACCTGCGGCCTAATGGGAGCCTCCCTCCATCTCTCCCCGCAGTGCCCCGAGCCAGCTGCAGGGACTGCGAGTTGCAGGAAGCCGGGTCCTCCACGGAGGTCCTGGACACACTTTGCGCCAGCGACTTTGGTGAGCCCCTAGCGTTCAACTGGCCTTGACACACCTTACAAGTGCCTTCATTCCAGCTCCTGGCTTGGCGCTAAGACAAATGAAAGGGGGATACCCAAATGCTATGCCCGGTTAGAGCTAAAAACTAAATTCCTTTAATGAGCATGAGACATCGCTAAAACAACAAAACAAACATCTGCTAAGGAGGGTGGGATCCGGGAGGACAGCCCTTCTCCAGGACCCGGATTCCTAGGGCACAGCATTAGACTAGACAGTTCACCAGGTGGAAGGGATGGGGGAGGGGATACTCCCTGAGGTCCCGCTCATCATCCCGCCCCTCTGATCCCATTCGGCAGTGAAGGTGAGGCTCTCCCTGCCCAACCCGTCATCCTCCGGCCCCTCAGACTTCGACCTGGGCTCACAGCTAGAGGCGCTGAAGGCAGGCCCACTGCCCCTGTGGAGCGGGCACCCATCCTGCGATGCTGGCTGCAGCAAGATGCTACATGTGTGCACAGCTTCCTGTGAGGAAGGCATGCTGGGACCTACTTGCTGAGTGGGGAGGTGCAGGGCCACCAGCTGCTGGTAACCATGGCCTATACTTGGAGCCGGGGCCACCGAAATCTGCAGCTGGCCATGAGCAGGTGGCACCATCACCAGTGCCCAGAATAGGAGTTAACCCAAGAAAGGAGAGCCTGGGACTTCGAAGCCACAGCCTCTGTGGTGGCCACACAAACCCTGTGCTCCCCTGGACACACATAAAACCATCTTTCTGCTACCCTCATTGATATCTGCTGATCAGAGTCCAGAGAAGCTCCGAGGCTCACCCACGAATGGCTGGGCAGAAGCCTCCTTCCATGGTCACGGCTAGGGGTCCTTTCTGAGCCGATAGTGCTCTGCCCAGACAAAAGGCAGGCCAGCTCCCTGGCAGCCATGTGCACTGGGCAGGCAAGGCCACCTTTTTGTGCTTCCTAGGTCTGTGATGACAGCCTGCCCAATGCCCTGCTGCTGCCCACAAGCCCCAGCACCCCAAGCTGAGCCTCAGGGCAGGCACAAGCCTTGGGCTGTGCTTGCCCTGGGCCTGATGCCGCCTGTCAAGCCCCAGAGAGACTCAGCTGTACCTGCCTGACCTTTACTGAGTTGAGTTCTGCCAAGCAGCAGGCCTGTGGAACAGGGGGAGGGGTCCATGCAGAAAACTGCTTGAAACTGCTTACAGACCTCAGCTCATATGCACACTAAAATTCCTTCCCTACTTCTGGGCCTCCAGTATTTGGTGAGAGCAAAGTGGTCTTAAGTGGCTGCTTAATCGTTTTCTTAAGCTGAAAATGAATAAATTTGGAAATCTTATGATAAAGCACTCATGATTTTAAAATAAAATTGTTTTGTGTACTGGTGTCAATCACTCATTTACTTTAAGTTGTTAAGAAAAAATGGATTAAAACTCTCGCTGACCCACTGGAAGTGCCCCTTACTGCTCTTGAAGAGGGTGCATCAGGAGGCAGTTGTCCAGGGTGGTGGTAGAGGCCGCTCTGAGCACGCAGGCAGGTGCTGGACTGGTGGGTGCTCAGGAAACCCTGCCAGCTAACCACTATTATCAACAGTAGACAGGACTCTGGCTGCTGGACCCATGGCCAGAACAAATCAGGCCTCCCATACATGCAGCTCCCTTTAGGGTCAGAGGCACAAATGACACCAATAAATACAGGAGACAGTTTCCAATGATACTAGGTGCTAAGAGAAAACCAACCAGGCTGATCCAACCGAGAACCTGTGAATCACTTAAGACCAGTTTGAGGTCAAGAGAGGTCTCAGAGGAGGGGATGTCTGAGCAGAGGCCTGGTGGAGCTGAGGGCCCCCTCTGTTGGCAGAGCTAGGTCTGAGCCTTCTGGTGGCGGAGACAGCACATACAAAGGCCCCGAGGCAGCAATGAACTTGGTGTTTGAGCAGGGAGTGAGTGAGGGAGTGGCAGGAGATGCGGTCTGAGAGGTGAGGGGGACTGGGGGTACCGAATAAGAAGTGATGAGGTCTCATCCGCTATTTAAATACAGAATGAGAGCGGGGTGGGGTGGGGTGGGGTGGAGGAAGAAGCAAGCCAAGTGAAAGAAAGAGATGTTCCCAGAGAGACGACAGTGACTCGGAACTGCAGTCTCTCCCTTCTGAACTGAACAGGACTAAGCCCTCAGCTGACCTCCGGTGCTCCGAATCCTTGGGAAGTGCCTACCAGTCGAGCAGGTATTTCCCAGGAACTCAGGTTGGGACCTTTTGTAGCCCAGGTCCCACTTGTCAAATGTCTCTAGTTACAAGGGTGGGAACAGGACCTATTTTGCCAAGGGAGAGACTGGAGGTTGCATGGGATCCTCCCTGGGAAGTGGTGGGGTTCTCCTCCATGGACATGGAGGCACCCTGGGTAGAACCCAGGCCCCTTGTCCCAGCTTACATCCTGAACACCTAGCCCTTGAGCCCTGGCATCTTGGGCCCCTGAGGCTGGCAGGTCACAGGTTTGGAGCCAAGAGCAGGAGGACAGAGGTGGCAGAGCCCACAGCAGGCCCACTCTCCTTGGGCCCCGCCTGCTCCTTTACGGTGACAGAGGACAGACACTGCCCCTCCTTGGGGTGAGGCTTGCCCCTGGGGGTTCATCCAACACCACCTCCCTGGCTTTCCCTCTCCTACAACTGGACATCTTAGAATCACTGATCTTGGCTTCATTAGTCTCATCTCATTTCACCAAGTAGCAAGGTTCAGGGCTTTCTGGGTAAAACCTGGGACATCTACCACTAACAGACTCAAAGGTAATGTAAGAGTCTGGAGGAAATGAGGACTCCAACCAGAAAGTTCTCGCTGCAGCTGCCCAGTTCTCCCAATTGTGCCCTTGGTAATTTGCAGAAATAGAGACCCATCTATCTGATGGTTGAACCAGAGCCGGTTTACCTTTGCCAGATCTCTTCTGCTTCCTTCAATTTACTTTTGGTGACTTTGGGTCTGGGTTTCGCATTCTCTGCTTTGTAGGACTTTGATGCAACAAGCAGCATGTTAAGGGGTTAGGGTTAACTCACTTAATCTAACATAAATCTGAAATAAGTATATACAGGTCTCAAGAAGGCTGAGGAGAGAAAGCACAACTCCTTCAGATGAGTCTGGTCACGGCAGCGTAGAGGTGATAGTATGAGTTCTGTACCCCTGGACTGGATCACCTTTTCCCGACAGCCACCTGGCTTGGGCCCACAGTTCCTATAGGTCTTTGCTCAAATGCCTGTCTCAGGGAGCCCCACCCTGGCAACCCTATTAAGAGTTTCAACCTCACTTGAAATTCTGTCTTACCTGTCTGTGATCACTTATCACCATCTGACACACAATGTATATTCATTTATTAGTTTATTTATGGTCTGTCTCCTCATTTGAATGTCAACTTCAGGTGTTTGGGTTTTTTTCCTGTTTTGTTCATTGCTGTGTTCCCAGTACCTAAAATAGTGCTTGGCACAGACTTCGACATTATGCAATAGTAACCGCCACCACCCACCTTATAGGGTCCTTCCTGCAACAGGACTGACATCATAACCTAGTTCCCCTCAGACAGCATGCACGTGAAACCATTCTCACGGCTCTAGGTATTGTCCCTGACCAGGCCCTTCCGCTCCAGGTCTAATGATATGTGCTCAGATGTTCTGTGGTCCCCAGCCCCTTCCTTAAATCCCCCTATGCACTCCATCCTCCAGCAGCCAAGAATGGCCTGGGTCTGCAGATAAGTGTGTCACTGAGGCTGGGTATCCAGGGCTGGGATGGGCAAACCTATCCTGCAAAAGATCATGTGTTTGGGAGCCGCCAACTTGTTGACACTGGTGGTCTTTGAAGGACTTCAGAGTCTTCATGGCTAGCATGCTGGCTTTAGAGCGCAGGCCTGAGAGGCAGGCTACTTGGGTTCTCATCCTAGCTTCACCTCTGAACTAGCTGTATGAGCCTGGCCAAGTGACTGCAGCTCTCTGTGCCTCAATTTCTCACCCACTAGCCTGAGGGCGGGGGGTCTACACCCACCTCATAGACGGGTTGCAAGAATTAAAGGAAATGATCACATGAAGCCTAGCATGTAACAAGAGCTCAGAAAATGTGAGCTATGATGCTGGTTCCACATGAGGACACCTGGGAGGGAAGGCTTTGCCTCCCGTGGCTGAACACAGAACTCCATCCTGAGAAGAATCTGAGTGCTGGTCACAACGACTGGTGCCCCCGTGGGGCCGGTTTTGGGGGCACCGGTTTATCCACAGTCGGACAGCCTGTTTTTCATCAACCCACAGGGCCCACTCTGGGAGTGTGACTCCTCCTCGGAGGCCTGAGATCAGCTAGGAGCAGTTATCAGTCTCTCTCACCCTTCCCCCCTTCTAGAATGTGACAGAATTAATGGTGACAAGGAGTATCCAAAGACAGTTTCTGTGAAATGTTGAGACACTAGCTTCAGGGTCACGTTGCCCAGCCCTGCGGTGGAAGGATCAGCTGCAGAGAATAGGGGTCAGAGAGGGGAATGTGGAAAGGTCACCCCGCAATCTATTATGGAGGTGGGGCGGATCACTTTGAGAAACCTCAGGATGGAAAAAAAAGGGACTTGGAAGCAGCCATTTTCAAAACAAAAGTCACGTGGTCAAAATGTGCCTCAAGGCGGCCACCGCGCAGCAGCCCCAGGCCCTTTCCCGAGCGCCCAGCGGACTTACCGAAGAGCAGCGGCTTGAGGCTGAGAGTTCGGATGAAGTGATCCCTGTCGGCGACCAGCTGGACCTTCCGCTCGTGTCCCACCTAAGGGAAAGGGGCACAGTGAGCAGCTCAGGCGCCAGGCCGCGCCGTCGGAGGCGGGAAGAGGCTCCCCAGCCGGGGCGAGAGGGGGATGCGCGCCAGGGACTCAGGGAGCAGCGGGGAGGCTTGGACTGGGCGCCCTGGGCCCGGATCGCGGCGAGGC